CTATACTAATTCTGTCAACCAGTAAGATGGAAAAAATGATAACAAACAATGAAGACAGAGCAATTCCGCTCCTATTTTGGCTGTACCTTTTTCTGCAAGAAGATATGAGTTCCATCAAGTAAGTGTGCTGAGCAAAATGTAAAGGCCTGTATTGAAGCTTGAGACTGACAGAAGCACAATACTTATTTTTAGAGCCTGGGACAGATCAGTTACATCCTAGGGAACTAAAGGAAATTGCTGATTGCTGTTCTGAATATTTTTGTTAGGTCTGGAAGCCATCTTTTGCATTGGGCCTTCAGGCCTGCCACATTTCCTACTGTGGGAGGGGGGGATTGAATGGAGCATGGGTGATATATAGTCATAATAACATTCTTTTCTCAGAGAGTCAAGGACATCTTGTCCTGCACCTGGAGGGTTGGAACTGGGAGGCCTCTCCAGTTGGAATGGTATTTTGATTGGGCCATTTGATGGATTTGTGGTTGCTGGGCAGGGATTTGGACTTTCTGTTGGGTGGGGAAAACCTGGAAGCTTTCAGATATGGGTTTTCTCAGATGTGCCAATATGCCATCTCTAATAAAATGGAACTTTGAGGAACTTCAAGCCTTGGAGTCTTCTTTCGTTGGGGGTGTTACTTGGAACCCTGACAATTTTTATATTATTTATTTAATCAACATGGACCGTGCTTGACTCTCAGTTGATTGTGAGCAGCTTGCAATATAGACATAGAAAAAGAATAGTGGAATAAAGAGAATTGGAAGATCTTCTAGCCCAAACCCCCTATGAAGCAGGAGATCCCTATACCATTTCAGACAAGTGGCTGCCCAGTCTCCTTAAAAATCTCCAGTGAAAGAACTCCCACAACTTCTGAAGGCAAGCTGTTCTTCCGGTGAATTGGTCTGTCAGGAAATTTCACCTTGTTACTAGCTGGGTTCTGTCCTTGATTAGTTTCCATCCACCATTTCTTGTTCTGCTGTCTGATACTTTGAAGAATAACTAAAACTAAACTAAGAATTATTTTTAAAAGTGGATCCAGAAGAGTGAAACAAGCAAATGTACCCTACACCAACCAAAGCTAGTAAAGGCATTGAGAAATTCTGGAGAACTAGTGAAATGGTAAGGGCAGGGGGAATGCAAATGTTAACCCTATCTTCAAAAAGAGAAAAAAAGGAGGATCCAGGGAATTACTAGTCAGTCTTGACATCAATAGTTGGAAAGATTCTAAAACAGGGCACGAAGCAATCTTGAAAATACTGCAGTAAGTACCAGAATTCAACAGGGATTTGTTAAATTCAGATGTTGCCAGCTCAACGATACCTTTTTTAAATCTTGTTTTATTTCAGTTTTGGTCAGGTACTGTAACTTCCTTAAAAGATCATTGCAATGTTGTAATGTCTGAAGCTGTGAAATGAGAACTAGGGCTTCCCAGACCAGACAGAACCATTATCTAAATCAGGGGTCTCCAACCTTGGCAACTTTAAGACTTGTGGACTTTAATTCTGGGAGTTAAAGTCCACAAGTCTTAAAGTTGCCAAGGTTGGAGACCCCTGGTCTAAACAATATGAAACTGTAATCTGAAGGCTGAAGGAAAAAAAAGGTCAATAATCAATTGATTCAAAAAGGGGAGAGAAAGAGGCTTAAGTTTAGGATCAGCCCAAATTTATCCACTGAATGATGAAGACTATGGACTGTATTCACTGAAGGTTATGGACTGTAATTATCACTGTGGTATGGTAGACGGCATTTTTTTTCCAGTTCCCACTCTAGTTCGAGAAAGAATCTTACTCAACTAGTTTCTGTGTCTAAAGGAGAAGTAGAATCTGGATTTGCTTGTTTCTTATCTTGGACCTTAATCACTACAACCGTACATACATGCAAGCACATGTACATGCACACACACACACATACACACATGTGTATATACATGGTATACAAACACACAAATCCATACATACATATAGCAAACAGATGTGATATATATATGACTTGTTACTTGTCTATAATAAATCAACCCATCCAGGAATTTTGCTACTATATAGTTCTTAAATGAGGAAATGATTTTTCCTGGAAGAGTAAAGATTTATAGCCAGGCCTGGTCTGACAGCTGAAGAACTTTTATGCCTTGAGTTCACTAAAGTATCTGACAAAATATTCCTGGCATTCTTAATAGTGTGCTTAATAGAATGAGGTCTAGATGACTTATCAGTTAAATGAATATGGATAACTGGCTTGAAAATCACATTCAAAGCTAGAAAACGATTCCTCAACAAATTGGTATGTCAGGAAATTCAGTTCTGGCTCCTCTAGACTTCTACAGTTTTATTAATGGCGTGGATGAGAGATGGAAGAAATGCTTATCAAATCTTTAGATGTAGATAGTATAGTTAATGTCCAAGAAGATTATATCTAAAATTTATGGATATTTAATAAGGTATAAATTAGAGGAGGAAACAGTGAAAGAAAACATGGTAAGCTGGGCAAGAAATATAGGTCACAATATAGAGTTGGATAGATGGGACAAGCTATGGGCAGAAAATTATAAGATGACACTGTCGATTCCATACAAAGAAAATTTATACAAGATATTTTATAGATGGCACCTTCCTCCGGCACGTTTGGCTAAAATGTTTCCAAACACATCACCAATGTGTTGGAAGTGCAAGACACAAATGGGGACATATTACCATCTCTGGTGGTCTTGCAGGAAGGCACAACGCTACTGGCAAGAGATTAAGAGAATAATCGAAGAAACAACGAGGCAAAGTGTAGAAATGAAACCAGAACTCTTTCTATTTGGAATGACTACAGCACAGTGTACCAAGGAGATAAAATATCTTACCATCCACATATTGACAGCGGCACGTATAGTGTACGCTCAGAATTGGAAATCCGAGATAATACCAACAGAAGAAAAAATAATAACAAAAATAAATGAATGCGCAGAGATGGATAGACTCACAAAAGAGCTCCAAGATAAAGAGAACACTGACTTTTATTTAGTTTGGCAAAAATGGTACACATGGTTAGAAAGAAGGATAGGGCCAACAACATAGGACATTAGGAGAACATAACTCAAGAATTGTAGAAATAGATACATGAGATGAGCCATAGGATTGTATAAATAAATGGTTAATATGTTTGTAGAAAGATACTGCTGAACTTCAATGAATATATCACGGTATAAGCAAGTGAATTTGTAAATAGTATGATTAAGGAAAATTGGTTAAATGGACATTAATCACCGATGCGAAGGTTTTCTAGAAGTTAGTCGATTGACTCTTTGTTAATGTATAAGTGTTTACATGTATTTGTGTTTTATGTTTGTTTATGTTAATAAAACTTTAAAAAAAAAAAAAGAGAGAGATGGAAGAAATGCTTATCAAATCTTTAGATGTAGATAGTATAGTTAATGTCCAAGAAGATTATTATCGCCTAATTTACGTCAGAGAAAAGGACAAGTTAAAGGCTCACTTAGTCCCAGGAAGCCAATCTTTGCTTATCTACCATGTAATTTTAAGTCCATTGCCAATAGATGTCAGTATTATCACATCTAACACATAGATTTCACCAATACCTTTAATTGTGCTGCTTGACAACAGGGCCACAATATTTCCTTCACTGATTCTCAAATATTTCTTATTAAAATATTTCCTGCCGCTCAAAATGAGTGTATTGTAATAATGTTTAGAAAGGTCATCATTCATATTATTCTGCTTATTGTTATGTCTGGCATCTTCAACACAAAGGCCAGCACACCCAGGAATTCTGTATTTCTATTCTCTCCCAGCAGTGTGTGTGTGTGTGTGTGTGTGTGTGTGTGTGTGTGTGTGAGAGAGAGAGAGAGAGAGAGAGAGAGAGAGAGAGAGGGAGGGAGGGAGGGAGGGAGAGAGAGAGAGAGAGAGAACACACACACATATACACCTCAGTAATTCATTAAAAAAAAAACTAATCAAATCTTCTGGGATGAATTCTATTGTACCTAATATTAAATAGTATTTTCAGTACTATTTTAAACTGTGACTCGCTTTTTTATCAGAAGGTTGAAATACACTGTTAGATTAATGAAGAATATGCCCAACAGTGCCCATTTATCTAATATTGAGAAGAATGTGCCCATTAACCAAATAAACACATTGTATGTATCCAGACAAATGAAGTTCAGGATTATTTAGAATGTCCATGTACTAATAGAATATTTTGCTACTAACATTATTTTCACACTGACAAGGCAGGTTTGGCAGCTAGTACGTGCCTATCTTCAATGATAGCAACTGATGGAAATACAAATTAAAGACACAGCTATTAAGACACTGATGAGGACTTCTGTCATGGTCTTTTTATTTTCCAGAGAAATTCTGTTAAGATCTGTACAGTTTGGGTATGCACCCAATATACACTGGATTATGTACATATTATTGTCTAAATACTAATGACAGAAGTCTTGTTGTCATATTCAAAATTGTTCCTTCTAAACCAGGGATGTCAAACTCGATTTCATTGAGGGCCGCATCAGGGTTGTGTTTGACCTTAGTGGGGCCAGGGTGTGCTTGGCCAGTGTGGATGTGGCCAGGTCAATGTCACTCATGTCAGGGGCGCCTGTGGAGGCCCGAGCGTTCTGTCTGGGAAAATGGGCTCCTGAGTTCCGTTTTTGGCCGCGACGGCCTCCTGCAACCCTCTGCCAGTGAAAACAGAGCTTGGGAGGGCCACAGGCAATCCCCCTAAGCTCTGTTTTCACTGGCAGAGGTACCATGGGCCAGTCCTTTGCTGCTTCCAGGGCAGCCCCGCGGGCCAGATCTAAGCACCCCATGGGCCGGATCTGGCCCTCAGCCCTTGAGTTTGACACCCCTGTTCTAAACTGATTCCCCATATCATTTATCTCTCCTAATAACCACTGATGTAGACCAAATCATATGAATATTACATTCTTCTGCCTTTGCCATAACAAAATAATTGTGATTTCTCAAAAAGCTGGTAATGTAGGGAAGCCACTGGTTGCTACTCACCTTCTGAAAGAAAAACTGTGTTGTTATAACAAAGACATCAAAGCCACATCTGGTTCTCTTGAGTTCTTCTTGGACACAATTGAATTTTCTGACGAGTTCATCACACCTATCCTTCATTTGCTGAATGAACTGCCGTTCTGGCTCTCGTGTCTGCAAATCTGGCTTTGCAGAAAATCCATTCCTTGGAACAGAAGACTTTTGTTTAGGATGTCCTGCAAGAAGCAATAAACATCCATATAACATCCACGTAATATATTGTTTTATAGGTAAGAAGGTAGCTATTCACAGTCAGGAGGTGGCTGAACTGAAGATAAACTTGTCTTTTAGGGCAGACACAAATTAAGAGGAGACTGGTAGCATCTTTTCACATAATGAATTTTATTGAAAGACATAATTTAAACATCCGCAAATCTGCAATGTCTTTAATGTGCAATAATTAAGCTGTTCTATCAGATATTTTTCTTTCATAAACAAGAAAAATGTCATGGTGAAAAAGAGTTTTATGTGGATAATGTTTTGCACTTTTTTTAAAAAAAGGAATTATTATTACCCATGCATGGGTGGCCGTCTCTGAGGCTGCTGTCATAAAAATTGCCAAGAAAGAGAAAGAGGTGCTGTAGTAGCAACAGTCTGGGACAAAACTACAGGTAATCCTTGACATACAACAGTTTGTTTAGTGACCATCCAAAGTGACAACAGCACTGAAAAAACTGACTTATGACCATTTTTCATACTTACAACCATTGCAGAATCCCCACAGTCACATGGTCAAAATTCAGATGCTTGGCAACTGATTCACATTTATGACGGTTGCAATGTCCCGGGGTCATATGACCACCCTTTGTGACCTCCTGGCAAGCAAAGTCAATGAGGAAGCCAGCTTCACTTAACAACCGTGTTACTAACTTAACAGCTGCAGTGATTCACTTAATAACTGTGGCCAGAAAGGTCGTAAAATGGGGTAAAACTCATTTAGCAACTGTCTCGGTTAGCAACAGAAATTTTCGGCTCAGCTGTGGTCGTAAGTTGAGGACAACCTGTAGCAGCCAATTGTTTTGACCTAGGCTCCCTTAATAAGCAGGAGGCAGGAATTGGTCTCGGCAAAACCTCTTTTATTTACACGACTGTGAATTACGTTCATTCACAGTCAGCAAGGTTTGTCTAAACAGTTTTTCCAAAGGAATATTTCTCAACACACCTTATTTCATTTGGCAAGCTGCCACATAACTTGTTTCCAACCGCAGTACAAGGCAAAACTTGGCACAGAGTCTCTCAGAGTCAAAGAATGAATGAATTGTTCTCTGCAAAAGCCCACTCCCTGTTTGCTCCTCTTTTATTTCCTATGGGAGGGGTCAATCACCTCAAAGGTGTGGCTTTACTCCCGAGTCGACACTGCTTTCTGAGTTGTTCTTGTCTTCTGGCAGCTCTGCACATGCACACACTGGGATCGGGCTCCAGCTGTTCCTCTGCCTCACTGCTGCCTAACTTCCTCTCTGCCTCCGATGCAGAGCCCTGGTCCGAGCTTTCCTCAGCCTCCAGGACTGGCCCAAGTTCCTCCCAACCTCCTCACTGTCCTACTCTGCTGCCAGCTCATTTAGATAGCTGATCATCATTGTCTTGCAAGCTTCTAGGATTCAAGTGTAGTTTTCAATCTTTTCCATCACTCTTGTACCAACCTTCTACAAGAACACGCATGCAAAACTCTACAGTAGAAGTCTCGAAGATGCTTTTTTCTCTCTTTTTTTTAAAAAAGGCAACTGGACTTTCTTTGTTTTTTTTTTCTTTCTTTTGAAGTCATTTCACTTCTTATCCAAGAAGGTTCTTCAGTTCTAACTGAATGGTGGGAAGGGGGAAATGGAAGGATTTAGTGGGAATGAAGTAATGATGGGGGAGTGGAACAGAAGAAAGCATCACATTCCCCTATCAGCACCACCATTCAGTCAGAACTTCTTGGATGAGAAGCGAAATGTCTTCAAGCAAAATCAAAGAAAGTCCAGTTGGGACCACAATACCTGAATGACTGAGAATCTTAATAGACATCTAAGTTAAAAGCTTCTTTGCAACCTCTTGGGCCATGCTGCTGACTTTCAGACTCTCTTCTTATTCAGTGGAAACCTTATATTTTAGATACACAGTTTGCATTGCAAAAAATAATAATAATATTTTTTTTCTTCTTCTCCATCAATACCAGGTGACACTGATAACTGAGAATTAGGCAAAGATATACATACAAATATATGATTGAAATGTATTTGATCAAAGTGCAGTGCAGCTATTTGAGTGAAAATCTTAACGGAACACCTACAGTATGTTTAGTTTTGTTTATACTGATTCATTTCACACGCCTTGCTAATCAGGGAACCTTCTAGGTGCCTTCACCACATGAGCCCTGTTTTTTAAGCTGGTGGTTGGTTCACTGTGAATTTAGCATTCCTAAAAATAAAGTTTAACCAGAATTCAGTGTTGTTGCAGTGTGGATTTCTCCATTCCTTCCCACTTCCCTCCTCCCTCCCCTCCCCCCTCCCTCACCCGCCCGCTGTCAGTTCGTGTTCCATTTACCACTGAGCATGCTCAGTCCTAATTTATCTGCTTCACAGTTTCAGTTTAGGCTTTTTTCTTTAAATATCTTTCTATCTTTACTTTGCTAAATCGTGATGTTTTCCCCAATCTGTTCAAGCTTTCTTCTTGTGTGCAGATGGTGCTGGTATGATTACCTAAGTCAGGGAACTCATTTCTGAACACCAGAAATAAAGAGATTAGGGGTAAACACAGAAAGGAATCAATAGAAGACTTGGATACAGGCGTTTTAAAAAATGTGTTTATCTGTCATATCAAGAATATAAATATTGGTGCCGGTGCTGATGCAGGGGTTTAGAATTGGCCTTTCTTCCAGAAAAATCAAAGGCTGCTTTAAAGACTTTCCCATATGCTGGAAAATCACAGCACCCAGCTTATCTCTGTACAATTAGCTATTTGCATGAAACCATGCAGAGTGGATTCAGATAAATGCCACATAACTCCTTATTCTGCAGCATCTTCCGGAAAGGCTTTGTGCAAAACCGTATTACAATAATCATTTTACTGCCTTGTTAATCATCAGAACGGTTTGATGATTAGTGATATCTAGTTCATAAAAGGAAAGTGAAGTTGATTCGTATTTGTACATCTAAAAATTGCCATTACCAATATTTCTTGCAAATGTCTAAGCCCCCTGATATTAATTGCAAACTTTTAGATTGCCCCTACCCCAACTTACAACAGTTCGTTCAGTGACCATTCAAAGTGACTTATGACCATTTTTCATAATTATGACCATTGCAGCATTTCCATGATAGTGTGATCAAAATTCAGATGCTTGGCAACTGGTTCATACTTACAACCGTTGTTATGACCTGGGGTCATGTGATCACCTTTTGTGACCTTTCGACAAGCAAAGTCAGTGGGGAAGTCAGATTCACTTAACAACCGGGCTGCAGTGATTCACTTAACAACTGTGGCAAGAAAGGCCATAAAATGGGGCAAAACTCACTGAACAAATGTCCTACTTAACAACAGAAATGTTACGCTCAATTGGGGTCGTAAGTCGAGGACTACCTGTAAAAGAAATGAAATTGCAGCCAACAGGTTGGAAGGCAAAGCAGCATTATTTCTTCTTTAAAAAGGTTTCTTGGCCACGTATGGGTATCCTTAGAAAATAAAACATTTGAATGTCCATCTATCTAGCCTGAAAAAAGACAAGGGAAGCTTCAATGGTAGAGATCATCTGGGAGAGAAATGAAGTAGAGCAAAGAACCCATCTGTTGTGGCCCGCCAGTGGCCTGCGCAGATCGTGGCTGATCCCGACGACGAGGAGGCTGGTGTGGTGTCGCGCCAGCAACCTGCGCAGCCGGCGCTCGCGTCGGACAGCGAGGAGGCTGAAGAGAATGTGGTGCCAGAGGCAGAGACTCAGCCAGGGCCTTCACAACCTCCGGAGACTCCTTCAAGTGGAGAGAGCAAAGTGGAGGAGCCTCTTCTCAATGCTCGAGCACGCAGGGCTGCCAAAAGGCAGGAGTGGCTACTCAGGAGGAGGTCTCCTCGAAAGTAAGGCTTGAGGATAATTGGCCACTCCCTTAACCTATTTAAGTCACAAGCCGTTAGTAAGTTTCTTGCTGGAAACAACTTGTAATTATCCTCACAGCATTTTTGGAAAAGTCTTATTGTATCTTGCTTTCTGGGCTGGTTGCCAACCTTTGCCTGATGTTGGTTTATTCTTGCTACTTAATAAATTTGATAAGGACCGTTGGTGTGTGTCAATATCCTCGCGAATCCGGAGCTGGGGCAGAACACCATCTTAACATCTTGTTTTCAGTTAAATGAGTGTTTTGCTTTTGGCCTTGATGAATGAGTAAATCTTATTCATTGCAGCCATTTTGTGGGAATGTCCACAGCAGGTTCTCAAAATTTCCCAGGTGCTCACTGGCTCAAAAAACGTTACCTAGCTGTGTTCTAAATTACATAGGGACCTTCCATAATTACAAAAGCTCCTTAGGAAAGAAATTAATTTTCAAGGTGTGAGGGGCATGAGCCACAAGCCACTGGGAATGTGGGGGAGGTGGCGGTGAGACTAACAAACACATTCCATATTTTCCTCTGCATGCAGAGAGGAGTGAACAACTGTCTGAAAAAAACCTGACCATCATAGCAGAAGAGTAATTGCCTAGGCATGCAGTTACATTTACCTGAAAAGAAAAGGGGGAGGGGGAGGAAAGAGAGAGATGGGGGGGGTGGGGGGAAATGTATCTGTTCCAGAAAGAATCTGTACTTTCATTTTTCCAAATATTACAGTGATGTAGAAGAGCACTGAGGTTGCAAATAAATGAGTTTATGTTACACGCCGCTGTCAGTAATAAAATTATATCACAGTTTCACATTTCAAGGAATTCACTGGCTTTGTTTCTACTAACACAGCAAGCTACTTTAGTTTTATTTTTTTTTAAAGTTATATATACAAGTCATAATAGGCAGCCTGAGTCCTAACAGGCCTAAAATATCATTATTGTGGAACTGAATGCTGGTGGCCACATCAAAGCTTCTGTGGCTATTTTCTCCTCCTCACAATAATCTGAAGTGCTCACAGATGTTTTCTAGAGCTGATGTCAGTGTTCAAAGACAGTTTCATGGGACTCAGTGACTTTCCATGGGCTTTTGATGAACTGCAGGTGCCAAAATAGCA